AATCTTTGTGGCTGTGGGACCTTTTGGGAGCCCAGCACAAGGCTGCACAGAGCAGCTACCTGAGATGGGAATCTCAGCCAGAGGCAAGGGAACCAGTGTCCTGTGTGCTTCCATGGCAGGACCTGTGGCTGAAACTTCGACGTTTTGGCAGGTCACTGCCCTGTGCTTCAGCTGAATGGCTCCACTAGAACCACAAGATCTTACCAGTAAGATTGTAATAAATAATCTTTCGTTTGTTGCAATAAACCTTTGGTCACAGAACACCCTTCTATGAACCAGCTGAATGGCTCCACTAGAACCACAAGATCTTACCAGTAAGATTGTAATAAATAATCTTTTCGTTTGTTGCAATAAACCTTTGGTCACAGAACACCCTTCTATGAATATACATATTGATTTAGCCCAGGGCAAAACTTAGAAACCATATTCTTATGTTTACTAAATGATAACGCTTAAAATATGAAATCATAAACCAGAATTTACTAACGATATCATCTTTTTATACAGCCTAAGTCAGAACCATGGCTCCAAAAACTCCAAAAGGAAAGAAATCAACTGGCCAAAAAAAGTCAACACGTGGCAAAAAACCCCCAAAACATGTATTACCTGGTAGGATTGTTTTTTCAATTAATGGGATTTTTCGTGGATTTAGCATTTGTACAGATATTAGCAGCCAAAATGATCATGGTTGTACATATCAAATAAAATATTTTTTCTGTCATAAAATGAAATGCATGTGGAATTAAATATATAGGGATTAATTTTTTTGATTCATTTCATAACAATATCAATTAAATGCCATAGTAAATATATCACTGAGATAACTGTGAGAAAGACAATTATTCAGATTTTCTCTATTTAATTATTCATAAGATAGTGTAAGTCTTCACTGTATGTTTGTATTTATGTTTTGAGATTTGGTAAATGATTGTAATAAACTCAGATGCATATTTGATTCAAAAATGTAAATTTGACATAATTTTATTATATTCTAGTTAGTGATGAAGAGGAACCAGTAAATATGGAGAGCATGGGTAAGTGGAAATACAATTTAGAGCTTATTTCCATAGTTTTATAATACTTTAATATGCAATAAGTAAGCAAAAATACTACGAATTGAAGTGGTCAATCAAAATGTACATGAGCTAAAATTACATCATGTGATTTAGAATATAAAATGAAAATTTTTTAAAAAAGAATAAAATTTAAGAGTGAAAAAGAGAATTTCAAACTGAGAAAAAGACTTGCACCAAGCAGTCCCTTAAAAATCCATTATATGATTACTGAGAAACCTTTTGTAACTATTAAGTGTTGTAAGCCTGCAAGTTATCACTTTTATCCATAGTATTTTTCAAACTCTGGCTTGTAGGTAATATTTATTTGTACTTCATGGTAAGATTCCATTATTTCAAGGGAAGAAGTTGAGTTTTAAGCAAGTAGGCTAGAACTTGGACAACCAAGGTAATGTTCCTACTTTCAAAGGCTAAATAATTCTATTCTAACAGGACTTTTTCTGGTAGGGTGGAGGGGAAACCTTTCTCTTAGAGATGACTTAGATGACACACTTCATTTTTAGAAACAGAAAGGAGACAGTGAGGATGGGGAGAAGGAAGATCTAAAAGCCTCGTAGGCCATGGTGAAGATTTTGGCTTTTAGTCATATAAGATGGGGCGATATTGGCGGTATTTAAGCAGAGGAATGATGCAAACTGGCTTATGTTTGTAAAGGGTCACCCTGGCTACTCTGTTGAGAACTGCAGGGGCATGAACAGAAGCAGGGAGACATTAGGAAGCGATTGCAGCAACCCAGGGGAGAGCTGGTGGTGGTTTGGGCCAGGGTGAGAGAGGGTGGAGGTGTGGAGTGGGGAGTGGGGAGAAGGTGGGAGAGTATCAGCTAATGGTAAGTGTCCTGTAATCAGCACCCAGCACAGCGCCTGGAGCAGGGTATACCGCCCAATGAATATTTAGTACATTATGACTCTACCACCCAGAAACTTGAGAGTCGTTCTTGATTGCTTTCTTCCCCACAACATCTCCCCACCCCTATTCAAATCATCCTAACTTCTGTCAATTCCACCTCTAAAATATATCTCGAGCCCATTTACTTCGCATTATCTCTGCACCTGCAACCTTAGTCCAAACATCCCCCAGTTAGATTAGCCCCTAAACCTCCTCACTGGTGCCACTGGTCCCACTTAGCCTCCTTCAGTCCTTCCACAGGCAGCAGCCTGGCCATGTCTCTTTCCTCCTTTAACTCTCCCATGGCTTTTCTTTGCCATTGAGAACTCCTTACAGTGGTCCTGGCTCAACCTTCCTCTCTGACCTTATCTCCTCTTCCTCTCCCCCCAATTACAGCCCAAGCCTGGCTTAGCACAGAGCATTCCAAATTTATTCCTGCTTCAGGGCCTTTGCTCTTGCTGTTCCGAATGCTTGGGTAGATCTTCCCTCGGAGCTCCATGCAGCTATCTCCTTCTTGTCATTGAGATCGAGACCACAGTCCTACCTCCTCGAGAGTTCTTCCTTGACCTCTCCATCACCTATTACCCTGTTTAATTGCTTTCATAGCACTTATAATTCTGAATTTAAAGTATAGTCAATTCTTGTTATTCATGGAAGTTCTATCAAGTTGCTTCAAATACTAAATTAGCCCATACTTAACCATTGCTCCTAGAAGAAATACAGGGGTAGGTTCCTGTGAGCCTCTGGTCACATTTTCATCAACCAATATATAACTTTGTTTTATGTTTCTGTTAAACACTCCTTATTTAATATATTTTGTTGATTCGTTAACATTAAACTCACAGCCAACAGCACTATAACTCATGCCTAAATGAAACTAGTTTATACTCATGTTTTCTCCAGAAGGCACATCACAGACTTAGGAACACTAGACAGCACTTCAGCACCATGTTTGGAGGCCATGTTAAGCACTGAAATCACCAATAAAAAGCACAAAAATGTAAAAAATGTGACATTAAACAAACTTGCAGAAGGATTCTTGTTTACAGTAAGAGAGCTAAGACAGGAAGGCAGAGATCCTCTTGTTTGAACTCGGCTGGCAATATGCACATGGGGCAACTCAAATTTTTCACTATTTAAAGCATGTCCAGTAATGACCATGACCATGAAAGTGCTGTGATGAATGAATCAGGGGTTATAAATAAATTTTAGAAGGTGAATTTGCAAATCCAAAATTCATGAATAATGATGATTCACTGTATTTATTTGTTTATGCATTTATAGCCTACTTACACACATATCCATGCTCTTTCTTTCTCTCTCTCTCTCTCTCTCTCTCTCTCTCTCTCTCTCACACA